CCGGGGAAGACGAAGCCCCTTTGAAGAGGAAACTGCCAGATTGTGAAGATAATGAGATATGAACATGTCAGAAGAAGTCCACATACTGGCCCCTAAAAATATCTCCCAAGAAGGACAGGAACGATTAAGAGAATCAATGGAATTAGGAGTGAAAGGAGGGGGCCTTGAGACATGAGGGAAGGAACATGCAGAAGTACATGTGGAAGTAGAATAGTGTGTCAAGCAGCCAAAGACAATAAAGAAGACTGCAAATATGTTGTATCAACTCTGGCTTCTAAAGATTCTGGGATTCCAGCAAATAAATAAGGCTGAAGAAAAGGTGCCTCCCGTAAATCTCAAGGACAGAAGAAGGTAAATGAATACTCTCCAAAAATGCATCACAACTCAAGTCCCAGCAACAGACCAACCACAACACCAAGGCAAGTCCTCAAGAGGACAAATGTGTCATAATAGGGACCAGTAAATGGCCCAGTTGGTTACCCTCACATAATTGTGTTGCAAACCTCCCTGCATGTACAACAATATCAGGAGAAGGAGGAAAACTAAGTAATCCCCTTGAGAACGATTGGACAACAAAGCAGGGTAGACTCAAAAGTAATTGGTTGCATCTCCAAAACTTCACAAATACGTGCAGAAGGCTTCTGATGAGATGAGTCCTCAAGAGAGCAAGCTCTACTGAAAGAAGGAGCAGGAAACAAGGAGTCTAAATTTTCCCTGAAATTTCCCGTTTCAGAATGATAATTCAAATCAGCACCTCCCGGAGACATACCCTCAAGCCGCATGAAGGACTCGATCTCACCCTGAATAAGGTTACGGACAGCTTCCACAAAGAGTGGCTCCCCCAATTGCTGACCACTACTAGATAACAAAGGGGGAACAGATGAAGGCTGAGTAGCCTCCGTGCTTGAAACCGTTACATGGGAATTCATACCAAATTTTTTTAAAATATATTTGTAGGAAAAAACAAAATACAAATTCCATGGAATATATTTCTGGATAACAAAACAAAGAATTCCCAGTTATTCAAAAGCAAATATTAAAAAATGTAAATCACAAAACGTTAGTCTGAATGCTTGTACTTTGTCGAGAAAAAGTGATTTTATTGTCTGTATACATTGCTTATATACAATACCTACATAGAGGGTGTGTGAGGGCCGACAAAGTTTTGCAAATTAGATATTGCCAAGGACAGTTGAGTGGGGTATATAAATACTGGAGCAGGCAAAGATGCAGATCTAGTGTCAGCAAAGGTATACATGTTTTGGAATAAATTTTAATTGAATGTTTTTTCTTCAATGCAGATATATTGGTGATAGCTAATTCTATACGTTCCCTATTTTAGAATAGTGGTTGGATTTTTCAATTACATTATTTTATGGTTTTTATATATTCTATCCATATCAAATACACATTAAAAAGGTTAATAATAGATAAGTAAACAATGATTTATAAACACAAGGAAAAGGTTTATTGATGGTGGAACATACTACATTGACAAAACTTTGGACTGTCTTCTATTGTGCCATGAGTGTGGGATCATGGGAATTATGTTTTCAAGAAATAGTAATATTTGAAATTGTACATTACAGACCACCCAAATAGAAATTTTCAGAAGTAATCCTATATCTCACCAAATGAGACTATAATGCACACACTAAGTAATAAACATGACTATGTTGATTTCATTATTGACCAATCAGTGGGCCACTAACATGGAATTCTATTAGACCCAGCACAAGGCTAAAATTATCTTAATGGCAAGCAGCTTAGATGCATTGTTTCAGACTAATTATCATAAATTATGCATAAAAGAAAGTAAACAAGGACAAGAGCATTTAATGTCACTTGCCTTACTGACAAGTAATAAAGACAACAAAATTACTGTACTAATATAAAATAACCCAAGAGAATCTCTGGACTACTACTTAAAAATTTCCACGGTTTCCCTTTAAGAGGTCCTGGGTTCCTTAAACTTTAGAACCTAGGGAAAACATATGATGAAGTAAAATTTGATATCTTACATCTGATCATCCAGAAAGACATTTCTAGTTAAATCTTTACAGCCAGTCATTAGTTATAAATATGAAATTGTTATTGGACCTTTGATCTAAAATTATAAAAAATTTTACACAACTTGCATTTTAATAAAGATAATAAACGTTGTGAGTACATTAATGATGAGTTTTTTTAGACTCTATTTAAAGTATATTATTACTTATTTGGGTGGTTGACACATGAAATGATTTGTTGTTGGTAAGAGTGTAGGCCAGAACTTTACAGGAGTGGAATTGTAGATTTCATGAAAAAATTAAGGATGGGTTTAAATTCTTCTCAAGGGTGGGTGTGCAAGAACACCTCAAAATGACTAAATGGTCCCTTGTTACTCATACGTAAAGATTATAATTCACAAAAAATTATCTAGTTATAGTTTGCATCTTACTTTTATATTAATCTTATGCAAGACACACACGTACACACACACATATATATACTACAATACAAAGTAAACAATCAGGTTTCACGAAACCAAAAATATGTAATACATATTTATGTAATATGAAAATACATTTCTGTTTGTTGTACGTACAACATTTTAAAATACTAACTAATATATTCTTGTGCATAAACATGACAACAAACACTTTTCTGATTATAGCTGATCTGCACGAATGATAAGAAGTTCATTCAGCATCAGCTGACCTTGTTTTGCCTATCCTCAGTTAACTGACCAAGTGGAAAACAAACCTGTTTTCAACCTCTGTATTTACTCTCCTTCAGGCTTCAAGACAAGGTAAAACTGGATGGACTCCAAGTCTGTTATCATTACCAAACAAACCTGTCTGTATAGTGTAACTTTTACATATGGTCTTCAATACATATTAAAACTTATACATGTGGCTTTAACTATATGTTAAAAAGAAGACAAACTTTCCCAATATGTAGCACATGTATGATACTGTTTCTGCTTGATTTAGTAGACTACAAGTATAATGTGGTTATCCAGAAAACTTTCCAAATTTGTAATTTACATAATTACAGTACAAAACAAGAAACTCCAATAATCCAAGCACTTTTGAAAGGTGGACCTTTCTTCTTCAGGGGTAAACTGTTTACTCCTACAAAAAGAAAGATCCACCTTTCAAAAGTGCTTGGGTTATAGGGTTTTTATTATTTTATATTAAGACTTCTTGAACCTACATGTTTTTCCGACATCATAATTACAGTAGATGTATTTAATAATTTGTTATGCCATGTAAAACAAACTTCAGTATCTTATCATCACCACTAAATCCTGATTGCTACTCAAGTTACACTGTAATCACTGATTCACATCCAAGTTGGAGAGCTTAAAGTTTCAAAGGAAGTTATAAATCATGGAATATTTCAAATTCACACTAGTTTAACAAAATGTTAGAATAAGACTTAAAAACCAAGAATTTACAGAACTGTAGTTTGGTAAATAAATATGGATTTATCTCTCAGTTTCACCAAACATTTCACCACAGAAACATGGTTTAAAAAGAGACAGTGTTTGTGATAAGTTATGAAATAAGTTTAATCACCCTACAAGTTCTGAAAGTAAACCCACATGTATGCTATGGATAAATGACCATTTCAGGTACACTACCATAATCTAAAATAATATCTCAAGGAAACAAGAGTTCTGTTGGTCCACCATGGCTGTCTTATTCCATAAACTATACATTAGGAAAATAAGCCTCTGAAAGACATTTAGTGTTACAAATTACTAGAACAAATCTATTTAAAACAACTGATAATCTTAAATTTTACCATAGACATATAATATTAACTGGATTGTTCTAGCAATTTATTCTCTATAGTTCAGCCAACTGGCTCATACTTTCCTTTTTCATTTTAGACTCAACTATTGCCCCCCCCCCCTAAAACAAATATAGCAATAACTTTCCTTCCAGATCATTGTGTAAGACCTGGTTTGGGATTCCCCATCAGCAATACGAGGTAACTTATTCACTATTTTCCTTGTACCCAGTTGGCTACCTTTCTTCTTCCTTCTCTCCACTACTACTAGAACTTATATGACTAATAAACTACTTTTGAACTGGAAGGATTATGTTCTGGTAAATTATGTAATGAATGAAACCCTCATTTTTTTTGCAATCGTTTCACCATAATCATGAAATCCCCCCCCCCCATTATATTGTATAAAAAATAATGCAATCTTGGGTGCATTTTAAACTACTAAGTAATTTTAGCTTTGTTGAGGATGATGAGGTACTACAGATTGATTTGGACTAACTGGTTAAATGGACAAATATAGTTGATTAATCTTTTCTAGCCTAGTTTAACACAGTGCCTTCTCTTAAATACCTTCAAATGTTAGATAACTACACACATAACATTAGACCTAGAAAAACTGTAAAATCTTACATACGTTTTCCACAATAAATATAATCACAAATGTAAATGAGAATACAAATCATTTAGAAAAACAGTGAAAACATTACTTGAAATTAGGTACACTATTAACTTCTTATTCTGGTTTGTCCTTTGAAGGACTTTAATTGTATTATCACTATATTTGTGGTAACTAATATTTGAAAGACTGAGAAATTTAGTGTTGTGAATAATCAGAACAAATATATTTAAAAAACTTGTATTAGATTTTAATAAAAAATACACAGAGACATGTACTATCATGCATCGAAAAAAAAATCTGTATGAAAGTCATATCAAATTTAAGAAAAAAAATTAAGTTTAAGTTTTAAAAAACCAATTCAAAAGTGGCTTATTCATCATGTATTGTGTATAATAATGGCTGTATTGTGTATGTATCCATCCAAGAAGTATGTTCAGGAAGTTCAAACTGATTTTTATACACATTAACACATGAAAATTATTACATTTAAACATATATATATATATATGTATGTGTGATAATATACGGACACGTCAGCTAGTTTTAGTATAAATCATCGAATTCAAATGTACTTATAAAGTTAAACAGCCAACAGTCTTACCACCAACGGTGATTCAGCTTCTTCTGGTTTACTGTGATTATTGTTACTCTCTTGGTGGTTGCTTTCGATAGTGTTGTTAACGCCGTTCACCTCAGGTTCAGCTTTACTTTCAACGCTATTTTCTGAAGGACGTTTAATAGGCGTTTTGTTATATACCACATTCGACTGTGTGCTTCTGGCAACTAATTTGTTTTCTTTGTACCACTTATCTCCTTCTTCATCCAACACTAAAAGTCTTGTTTCGTGAGGTATTGCTTTAATCCTTTCGACAACTTGCTTATGGTTTTCATTTGCAATATTTACCCCATTTACTTCAATGATGCGATCACCTTCTCTCAGCCCTGCAAAATCAGCAGGGCCTTCGAGGTCGACCTTGCCAATATATTGCCCTGCTCTAGATTTCTCGGCATGCAGGTTGAAACCATACCCATCAAAATCTGGCCATTTCACCAGATGGCACAAGCGTGGAGCTGGGGCGTCAAGTGGTAACTCGAGAGATGACATTCTAATTTAATAAAATAACTGTGTACAAAACTTATAATATTGTTCTTGCTTATAATTTATATATATTTAAAAAGACAAAAGTACAATGATAACTTCAACAAATCGGTTTATCACCTACCCACATTACCTCAAGACAACCAGCAACTAACGTAAAATAATCTCACACGAAAAGGCTTTTCTATCTACTTCTAATCACACGACTACGTCCTACTACAGTGGTGACATCTGTACGAGAAAGAAAACGTAACATGTGATGTTTGGTCTTTATATATATATATATATATATATATATGGTTTTATTTGTCTCTCTTAGTTGGAATGTTGGTCACAAAATTCATTTTATTGAGATAAAACTAGGATTCCAAACAGTAACTTAATATCTGACAAATCCGAAAAGATTTCGACAGGAAAAAAACATAAAAATTATAAAAAACAAAACTCAACCACCTGCCGAGAGCCCCATCGCAAATCTATTTGTTTTTAAATATACGTTTTAGAGTAATTATTTACTTTGATCTCCAGAACAGCACGTGATCATCCAGTCGGAAACATATGTACATGAATGATACAGACTTTAATCAGAAGCATAATTGTAGTTAGGACGATCAGAAATCTTTGGAACTGTTTAAAAGGGTACCGTTAATAACACAGTGATTGCGAAAAAGTATATAAAAATCAATAAGGGCTTTTAGACCTTAAAATATGAGCAATACAAGTAAGAAAACCAAGACCTAAAAATAATTCTTATTACAGTAACTGATGCAACGCTTTCTTTTCTTGGTCGGGTTCTTTCAGATTATATGGTAAAACGAAGAAAGCAAAGTCTAGATCACGTACGTAACAATAACGAAAGCGTTTTATTTCTTCAACTACAAGTTCTAGCATTTAAATCTTTCACGATTTAACGTAAGTAAAATTAATTTATTTAATTTAAAACAGTGATTAAAACACCGGAAAATATAAATAAAACAAAAGTTTAAACCTATAACATATTGAAAAAAATTCAGCTAGACTATATTTACATAAGCTGCTTACTTCAGGTTTATATATTTTAAAGTAAAAAATAGTAAAGTTACTTTCCAAATGTGCATTTTGAAACATAAATAATACACAAACTATTAGAAACAGAATGTACAAAAACAACTATAATTTTATTGTCTTTGTAACTAAAATATGACTAAGTTATAAACAATTGTTGAATATTATGAGTGGCAACCTTCTTACCGTCAAATTACAAAATGAAGACGTTTTGTTTTAATAAGATGTATATTTGCTGCCAATTTCAAATGTTTGTTGTTTCTTGTTAAAGACAAATCAACACATAGAGCTACCAGTGCTCTGCTTACTGCAGGTATCAAAACCAGTTTTTAGTATTATAAGCCCTCAAACATATTGCCGAGTCACCAGGACTTTTTATTGATTATAAACAAAAACCATAAATAAATTATGTGGTTTTGAAAGAAGCCTTAAAAATTAAGAACAGTTTGTATGTTAGTAATTAAGCACAAAGCTACACAGTGGGTTATCTGTGCTCTGCCCACCACGGGTATCGAAACCCGGATTCTAGCGTTGTAAGTCCGCAGAAATACCGCTGTGCCACTGGGGGCATTAAGGACAGATGGGCAAGGCTTCTGTCGTGGTTGAGTAAATGGATACGTTAGAAAGTTCAGTCTGAAGTTTTGAACTTTAAAATTTCTATAGATTGTATCTAAAATACGATAGATAATGTACAAGTTGGAATTTTGGACTTATACTAACTAGACAAGGGAACTTGACAGTGTTCGTAAATCACGTGACAACAAAAGTGAAGATTGGGAATTTTGAAATAAAAAGTAAGAATTAGATAATACAAATAAAAGTATCCGTCCCCAGTGACTGGAAAAGTTTAAGATAATCTATCAATTCAAATTATTTCCTGAACTTTAAAAAGTTAATTGTGTTGCAGTCTTGGTTTTACTCAAAACAAAAGCTCTGAGTTACTTATATCACCCACCATGAAAGGTAACTGTTGAGCACTTCAATCATGCTAATAGTCGCTCAACAATAACATGCAATAAATGTACATTTTCATTCTTCAAGTTACATCACATTTTAAGATATGAATGATAGTGTGATTAATTCCTAACAATTTAGTGTTGAATATCCTGCTTGCGAAATAAGATTTGGCATTAACATTATTTATGCCTGTTCTCCCGTCATTGTAAAAATGAATGTTGAGCTTTGTCTGCGTGCACAGCTTTTCAAGCGAGAGACAGACGAACGCTCGGAAAAACACAATGCTTCGCAATATATATAAAATTAACATTTGAATTATAAACAACATGTTGATATTCATTAATAATAAAACTGGTTTGTTAAATTTCAAGCAGGTTTGAATACCCATCACCGAACATGCTCGCCCCCTTCAGCCATATGGGGGTTATAATATCACGATCAATCCCACTATTCATTGGTAAAAGAGTAGCTCAAGAGTTAGTGGTGAATGGTGTTGACTAGCTGCCTTCCCTCTAGTTTATCACTGCTAAGTTAGGGGCGGTTAGTGAAGATAGCCTAAACCATACAATTAAATTTCAAAAGTAAACTATGTTAAAATGACGTGGCATGAACAGAAGAGCCAAGCTGTCTGGATAGAGTTAAACTTTTTATGCACCAAATTGCTTGTAGATCAATGATTTTGTTGATCACATGGTCTCTAATAACATATGAGTCACACAAAAATGTAAACAAAATATCTGTCAATATTGCGATGAAGCCAACTACTAGGGGCCCCTTTCTATTTTCCGTATAACATTGTAATTTCACTCAATGTGTCTGTTTGTCCCTTTACAATAAAAGGTGCAATAGGAAAAATATGAAAGTACTCAACATAATGCAATACATAGAACTAACCAGTAGTTAGGAATATGAAAACAAATTGGTAATTGGAGGTTGGGATGAGTGTTGGTGTTATATTGTTTTGTTCAGTTTTGGAACTGTGGGCACATCGTAAGAGTGACAGTTATATCCTATCTGACAATAATAGTTCATAAGTCGTCAGTGAGTGGTGTTGACTAGCAGCCTTTCCTCTATCATTTCAAAATTATGGATGGGTAGTGTAATTAGTCCTAGCTCTCATGCAGCTTTGGTCAATTAAAATTCCAGAAACAGATATTGGAATCAGTAGAAGATTATTTTGTATAAAAATAATAGAATTAGGGCTGATATAACGACTTCAATAGTTGGGTGAATTCTTTCAAATTATTCAATAAAAAGAAGAATGCAAGGACCAGTCAATTAATGATAACAAAATAATTTTATTTCTTCGACTGACTATAACATTTACGCTTTACATCGCCACAGTTTAACATAACAAATGATGGGCCTAATTTTAAAAATAACGTGCGTGGCTATCTGCTGTGTCCGCCGAGGGGAATCGAACCCCCCACTGATTTTAGCATTGTAAATCCGAAGTTAAATACCTATCAGAAATATATTTTCAGTGTAGAAAATAATAACTTTTCAAAGTTCCTTAGTTCAAAGCAGAGTGCAGAGAGGTGCTCAAGTGAGTTACTAGATTTTACTTTCTTTAAGCAACAAACATGGCTTTGTGAGGATTAAAGCCTGCTTATCTGGTTCTCTTACAATAATCACAACGTTATCTTATATTCTTTAACAACAACCAATTATTCTCTTTTCTGTATTAATGGAGCTGCCAGGTACATATATTATTCCAGATAAAACTTTATTTAATGTAAGTCTGTCCCTATTTAAAGAACTGCCAGCCTAAATGTATTATTCTTATTAAAATCTGCTTGATTGTTAGTCTGTCTTTTAAAAACTTGCATGACTGGAAGTCTGTCCTTATTTATAGAGCAAATGCTGAATGTTGACATGAACATGAACCTAGTGGCAGCAGTGTTTTTTTACATCACAAAAATAATGGGTTCGGCCGAACTCCCCTCTGCGTACGTGCGTGCAATATAAAGCCATAGTTCTGGTGTTTTATTTGGTCATTGAAATCACTAGTTCTGTGATATTCAATTTGAAAGAAGTAGAGCTAACGATATATTTACCACTCCAGTAAAGGAGATTGGGTAATGTCTGTTCAAGTACTTACACTATGTATATACTTTTGCTTTATATCACAATAAGAATTCTTTTACATTTTCCAACAAATGTCCACTCCAGTTATTTCTCACAGCTTGAGACTCAATCTGTTTTAGAATTCAGATTGATTCATTAATTTTCTCCACAGTTCTCCCATTATTAAGCGGACCTATCTGATACTTTCGTGGTGATCAGTTTATTTGAGAATATCACATTAATAAGGAAATTTAAACCCTAAATATTTACTATTGTGATGACATAGAGAGCGCACAGAACCTTACATCAAAGTTTGCTTTATTCACGATATAACTAACAGTTTAAAGTTTAAATACTGTTACAATGTCCGAGTGTTTGCCAGGCGCCCTCTTTTTTAGTATATAAGCCTGGCGAGAAAAACCAGCGCGAGGGCATAGATTGAATAGATATGCAGATAGATTGAAGAGATAGATAATTGAGTCAAGCGTAAGTAAAATGTGTGAATCACTGTGATTTATAGCGTGTGTTATAAAGGTTGTTAAGTTTAAAGTAACTGTTGAAATTCTTTGTATTACAAAGTTGTATCGAGAAAGAATAAACTAGTTTTAATTAAGAAAGTACTTGTATCGCTGAAGTTCCTCGGAAAGAATTGATACCGGAAATTAACAAACAAGCAGATACGTAACAGTACTGTTGCGTCATCGAGATCATGTGATTCTCACGCTCTCTACTTTCTAGAATTATCCTGTACTTTGGCGAATGTTCTAGTTCTTACTAGATATAGGGTAGGCGGGTATATATAAGAGGGGACAACGTGACGAGGTAATGTAATGTGTGCGTAGATAGTGAGTAATTGAACTGCAGTCACAGGGTATTGTTGAAGTTAACGTTCGTTCGTTATAGTGTTTGTTTTAGCGCGAATATTGAAATAAGTGTATCGGTAAAGTTGTATTCGGAAAGAATAAACCAGTTTTATTAAGTAAAGAACTTGTGTCGCAACTTCGTTCCGACGAAACCTAAACGGAAAATCAATTAACAAACGGAGACGTAACAATGTTATTAAAAGTAATTCAGCGGCGCTATGTACTTAATTTAAAA